TTACGAGGACGTTAGAAAAAAGAGGAGGCGTGTCATTCAGTTAAGCTGATTGCACTCAGCGAGAGTCCCAGCAGAGTTGGGTCGATCCACGTAGACCGATAGTGACTATGGGAATGGGGCCTATAACAACAGTGGCCTATAACAACAGTCTCGGTTCTGGTGAACGGCTAGACTGATCCACTTCAGTCAATGTAAACATGGCACACTGTACAGGTAATTTAGCCTAAGGTAAATAAAAAACCTGTACGTAGCGCTTCGACACAAAGAGAGGTCGCATACATTTTGCCTGCGCTGTCAAGTCTGCACTACCTGCTGTTCATTTGGACGCAGTAGATACAGATATTTGCAAATGTGAAAAACGCCTCTACATATTTAAACCACAGCAGAATTTATCTCTTGCTGAGACACTGAGAGGTTGTCAAGTTTACACGAGATAAAGCGAGACAAAATTGTGGAGAAGTAAGGCCCGTGAAAGTCTGCCCTGATTTTAAAGTTTTTATTTACGACTCTGTTATGGCGACTGAAGGACAGTTTTCGTCCATTGAGAAGGTATGTCAGATTAATAGTTTCTCAAAGTAATAGTTAAATAATTGACCAATACTTATGATAAGTCGAACAATTTCTTCATTGCTTTATAGAACAATTAAATGCACGTCACTGAGAAAGTATTGCAGTTAAGTGACAGTTCACAATGAGTGACATGAAGGTCGCACTTGTTAGTGCGCTTTAACTTGGTGGGGACTCTCACTGAATGTAATAAGATTATCAGGCTTATTATGGGAAATTATTGCAGTTAAGTGACAGTTCACAATGAGTGACATAAAGGTCGCACGTTGCGTGCACTAATTTCTAGGTGACTCTCGCTGAATGTTATTAGATTGACAGACTACACAAGCATCCTCTGCTGATTAGAATATAGAGAAGCTGGTGATAATATGAGCATATTAGAAACAAGATCGACCTAGTAATAAACCAAAGGCGTTAATTAATAACCAAGTGGACGATTTTATGACCATCTCATATTGGACATGATTGGCAAAGTACTGACGAGAAGATTTGACGCAGTACTCTAATGTCATTTCTCTTCAGATGGATCCGTATAACCGGGGGCTAGCACCCTCGGAGAAGAAGAAGAAGAAATTTCATTTCCACGACACGTCCACCTTCTCCATCGTGGCGGGGGTGATCTGCGGACTGGTCCTGCTGGCACTTGTGATAGTGCTGATCCTGGGGAGTGAGTCATCCCCCACCCACCCACCCACCCACCCACCCTAAAGTATCCACCCCACCCCCACCTCCTGCCCCTCTTTTTTAGCCTCCCATCCCCATTCTCTCTCTCTCTCTCTCTCTCTCTCTCTCTCTCTCTCTCTCTCTCTCTCTATGGCTGCATTCAGAACAGCAGACTTAACTAGTCCGCGGTCTAAATATGACGACCGACTAAAAAGCTTGGCGTCGAATCCGCTAATAGGCACTGAGTAGATTCCCCGTTGGGAAGTATTCAAGTGGGTCGGCCATATTTGACCCGTGGACTAGTTAGTCCGCAGTTCTGAATGCGGCCTATTACAGGGGTAACATGTTTACCTCCAGCTCTCCTATCGCTCTCTCTCTCTCTCTCTCTCTCTCTCTTTCAAAGCAAGAATACAACATCATATTTACACCAAAATAATGATAATTATTACTGTAATTATTTTGATTTATCAGAAATCACATACAAATTGGGAATCTTACAAATATGTACACTGTTTAGCCGAATTTTACAGCCAATGACCGTCCAAATGACGGCTGGACGGCTTTCTGGTAAAGGCCTTGTTTGAAGTGTATGATTTTCATGAGGTTTCCATATCTCTTACAGTCCAAAGAGTCGGACCTTTTGCCAACGATGTAATACAGAAATATAACAGAGGAGAGTTCATCCCGCCGACGACTACTACTACCACGGCGGCTACCACGGCGGGAAACTGACGTAAACCAGAAAGAGAACACATATAAGAAACTTTGAAATAGATCAAAAACCTGCTAAACGGAGAACTCGATGTATTTTATGGTTGATGACTATTCTTAACTGATACTGTTATATACATGTAGAATAGTAAAATACAGTACTTCATAGACCGCATTCAAATACACACATCGTATTAGCTGGGTCGATCCAACTCTGCAGAGTGCGGAATCAGCATAATTGCCTGACACGCCTCCTCGAGCAGTTAGGGGGGTACTTAACTATCATGTGCTGATTAAGCCAATTTCACTGACTGCACATTAGTGGGAATCCCCCGAGGAGTTGAACCGACCCAGCTAGTTCGATGTGTGAATCTGAATGCGCCCATGGTGTAGGTTAGTGTGGTGTGGCATATATACGTGCATGTAGCATAGCATAGAATAGCATAGCATTACTACATGTATTAGCATATAAATTATCCATATAAGAATATCCATATTTGCACAGTTCCGGTCGAAAACATATTATGTATGGTACATGTCGTGACTGTGAATGCTACATCCTGTGAGACAAAAAACACGCACTTGACACCCACGTGTTTACGTCTTCATACCATCTGGGAGGAAAATCGCCGTATACGACAGAAATAAACAAGCGAGTGATATCTGTAATCAGATAATTGCAATGGATAATGTGTCACAATGTGATATTTCAATAAAACAAGTGCAAAAGATAGATTTCTGAAAAAATAAATGAAAATAGGAGAACATCCAACGCCAATTAAGATGTTACAGCAGTTTTAGTGCCAGATGTTGGCCACCAATGAATGGAACCTACATATTACTAAAATGAATCTTAAGTACACTCGAAAATGTCAAACAATGCAAACAAGGGCTAGTTTATATTTCCCTTCAAGTAACATATGATATACAGACTTGACATTTAATATGGAATATTTCAGTTTTAAAGGTATACCTAGGTAGAAATGCGTTCTTTTTCATAAAACTCAGATCTCATATAAGACATCTGACTGGAGAAGAGTGAAGTCAGGTGTGTCGCTGCCAATTAACTGACTACCAAGTCTGTTGCTCTGTTGCCTTGTGTAATATGCAGTGATTTAATTGGGTAGTGCTCCTTTGGGCTGGTCAAAGCTTGGCTTTGGCGAAGCATGGTTCTGTCAAAAAAGTATCCATATATCGGCAACTACTGCATAGAAGAATTTGAAATTTTGTATGCAAGCGGTCGGTTTTGCAGTGCGTAAAATGAAATAAGCAGTGTTTTACAAAATTGTTAAGCTGTGCCAGAATGGTGCGAAAAGCACAGACATTGCCAGACAGATTATTGTGTCAAACGGAATGGTCTATACAGTTTTATAGAGTAATGCCCAGACTGATGTACCTACACAGAGACCACGCCCAATGCATTGACGTCTTACCACCAGGGTACAGAACTCGCTGTCCTTCAGGATATGCTGCTGCAATTAAACCAAAACCACCCAGTCCGTTTTGAATGAGGGGCAAATTGTCACCAAAACGCGTTTTTCAAGGCTCTTAGCGAACACCCAAACTGGTTTCAGCAGGTTAAGATACCAGATGACCTCTGAGGAAGCCACTGTAAGCAGCACAGCAGCGTAGTCTGTTTCTCTAATGAATTGGGGACCATTACCGTTTCTGGGTAGAACACTGAAACCGCGTGGCTTTCTTTATTGGGATCAAACTTCACCTGTACCGCTAAACTGGTCAAAACAGAGTTTACAGACATCCTGAAGAGGCCTACGACGAAACGTGTGCCACTTTTTAAGTGACCAGGGTCATTGACAGTGTCAGTATTTGGAGTGGATACCACATTGGTGCCAAAACACCAATGGTAGTCATCGATGAAAACCTGAACCAGATGAAATAAAGGAATAATCTGGGAACCACTTGACTATCATTTGATAGAGGGCATCTTAGGAACAATTTTAGGTTGCACGATGAGATTGCCGGTTCACACAGAGCACTTTTAATAGCAGATAACTTACAGAACCAAGGGAATGAGTAGCTACCTTGGTCATCAAAATCGCCATAATTGAACCACATAGACAATATGTCGGTAGGTCATTACTCGCCGTATCAACGGCCTGCATGTCCTACAACAAAACTGAGCCAAATTGGACAAGTTTTAACCGTTGCCTGGAATTTTATTTCAGATTAAACTCTAAAAACCTATCATAAGGAATACCTTGCGACTTGAAACCTCTGGTGGCAGCAAGATGAGGTCAAGCGTAACAGCGACTGTTGCTGTTACTAGACAATGACATGGGGGGCCTTTGTGGGACGTGTAACTCTTTTAAAGGCAATAATTAGGAAAATATGGAGATCCAATATATCGCTTTCAATGGTTGTCGGATGACGTAAAATAGGCAATGTATTTTTTTATGCTTCACTGGCGAATTCAGTTAATGAACTGATGTCACACTGACATCGAATAGATTATCAAAAGTTATTAAAACACGATTTTAATCCTTATTTTCATTTTTCAGCCAGCAAAATAGGAAAAAAACTGATGAATTATGATTTGGAAAAAATATTCCATATTAAATGTCAAGTCTGTATTTCGCATACAGCTGGGAGGCTCGTATTATATCTATTACTAAAAAAGATACACGTGCCTCTAGGGTTTTCTTGGTCTTATAAAAAAATCATGATATATATATATATATATATATATATATATATATATATATATATATATATATATATATATATATATATATTGAAATGGGTATTGGCCTGCATGCTAAAGTAGCTGGATTGGAAATCTATTTTACTGCAAATGTCTGTGAGCATACGTGTGTGTGTGTGTGTGTGTGTGTGTGTGTGTGTGTGTGTGCATCGCCTTTGTCCATATTGTTAACTTTTCCTGTCAGAAAACTGAAATTAAATACTACTTCGTTGAAATTGACTGATTATTTACGGATCTAATCATCGGCAATTTTAGCCGTAGGGGAAATTGTGTATTTAGTGAATTAATGAGTAATCAATCATAAGTATAAAGTATAAAACAAGCTCCAGTCTTCTACACTGGCACAGAACCAACCATACCAGTAACTCACCAGAAGTGATTTCAAGATGGACATGTTCTTCATTAGAACGGCATCCTTTTTGTGTTTTATGTTGATTCTTCAGACCGCTTACTTAAATGCAGGTAAGTAATCTGTGTGGTGATATACAGCATGAGCAGATAAAAAAATAAATGTGGGAAAAGAAGGAGAAAAGGAAGTTATTGATATGATGAATAATCTTAAATGCTAAATGTATAATACAATTTTAAATGAACAACATTAGCGAAAGGGTATGCTTTAGCACATGTTGGAGTTTGATTTTGAAATATCATTTGAAAAAAAATATTGAATCAATTTTGCTGAAATAGATGATTAAATTTCGAGGTGATGCTTCAAAATTTTGTAATATTCGAGAGCTATCAAAATCGTTTATCAAAAAAATTAATTTTGCACTTTCATTCACTTACTTCCCTTTAGTGAACGGAAAATGTAGAATTTCAAAAATATTTGACATGTCGCAAAAGCGATTATTAAACAGCACGACCGTTTTTCGATTATTTTGCGTGTCATGTTTCATAAGGGGAGAGTAGATGGCTGAGATATAATCTACATGTGTATGTGTATTACTTGTTCCAGAACTCTGCAGCCCGTGTCCCGGATGTCCCGACTGCCCGAAATGGACAAAGTGGATTGACCGGGATGACATCAGTGGCACAGGCGACTTCGAAACGTTTGATCCGCCATATTTGAACCGATCTGCGATAGTTCGTATTATATCAATGCAGTTTACCCATGTCTGGTTTCTTAACTGTTACTTGTTGCTTTAAATTATCTTCGGCGCCATAAGCCCTTTTAGTCAGCAAAACCTAGATTTGATATTTTACACGGCTTTACTTTGTACAATTCTATGTAAAATTTCCACAATGTAGCTGTAAAATAAGAAAAAAGAAGCAACCTGATTCTACAAAATCCTGTTTTATAGAAATGACCTAATGAAATTACTCGAGATTTCAAAGTTTAAAAAACTCGTAACTCACCTTTTACCCCGGATCTACTGGCGTTACAGTGCATCGATATATTTCAATTAATCAACATGTGTATTTTCCTTTTTCCAGTGTGAGGACGGAAAGGCGCCTATCGACATTGAGTGTGATATCCAAACATCTAGAAAGATATGGTGGTTGCATAGTTACGTCCTGAGACCAGGATACAACTGTACTTTACAGAATGGAATTGGTTGTTTCAACAGAGACCAAGGTTCCGGCTACTGTCCTGATTATCGCGTACGGTTTCTGTGCCCAGCTTAAAAGACTGGGCCACATCACATCACTTTACTTTTTTTTCATTGGAGAAGAAAAAATACTGGACACCGAAATACATGTA